CATACTTCCAAAAAGTGGATTCAGTCAGCTGATTAAAAAAACTGAAATTATTTTTTAAAAAATCCATTTTCTTGAAATATTATTTATTACTTTTATTAACCATAGAAACATGTACCATTACAAGCCATGAAGGGGCTTGGATTCAGTACTTTGTAAGAAAGTTTCTTCTTCTACGATTTTGCAAGCTAGTGATTGGGTCGAGATCACGCTCCACCGCCTGGTTTTCCACCTTCATTAACAATTAAATTAAGAGTACATATACCACATTATATAGGCTGGGTATGTCCCAGGGTCGATCCAAGTCTGATGTATCAGAACCTGCCATAGCCGGAATTAAATCCAGGACCTTAAGCATTGGAAGTCAGAGCTTTACTCGTACTCAGTGAGTATAATTTTTCTACATAATAGGAGGGAAGCATTGTATTCAAATGGGAGATTACTAAAGGGTTTGTCCTCAAAATTGAAAATTTCCATTCGCGATTCAGATGTCAACGAACATATTTGTTTCCGCGTTTGACTGTCGACAGCCTACTCCTTGTGATGGATATATTACATATCTAATACGGGTAATCAGATTTTGATTAAATTTTCTTTAAACATGCAGGCTCGAATAATTTCGCTAGAGCATGCGCAAATGTATTTTCTTAGGAACTCCTATGTATATCCAAAATGTTATCTGAGATTTTACTCAAAGTTAGAGTAAAGTTGGCATTTTGTAACAAAAACGTTGCTGTATAAAATATCATTCACTAGTTTCCCGGAGACGTATATTCACAGATATACCTACCTATATTTAAAAAGTCTCATTCAGCTAAAATTTGGAACTAAGATAGGGATAAGTAAAAATCCATTATTATATTAATCGAATTTCATCCCCAACTCTCGTTCATGGATGTGTAAAGGTGTTTTCTATTAACAAAGTTTTGCAATTTTACATTTTCAAACATTTGTTCATAAAAATCAGTATCACTTTTCTAGATTTTTGTAAATCTATTTATCAACATCTTCTTTGTGGACAAAAACTTCTTTTTAGGGGTCAGAATTTTTATTCCAGAACAGGAAAATATTTTTGTTACAATAAACATATTCCAAAAAAAAAAAAAAATTAATAAGTTACAAAACCTAGCACACCATCAACAATAACATTCTTTTGTTAAAATGTTTATGTGTAAATTTCATTTTTACACTTTTCACTTTTCATTTTTTATAGTTTATATATTTTTGGGATGAAAAAAATTGATCCAAAGTGGATAGTTATTGATTAAATAATGTTTTATAAATTATTAAGTTTTTATTAAGTTTTATAATATTAAGTTTTTTTGTTGTTCACTCAATAGAAAATATGATGAAGCCATAACAGTTTACTCGGCAGATTTTTTATTTTTTTTTTTTTATTATTTATTTTTTTTTTAGTTTTTGATTATTCAGCGTATTCGTCACATCGAACGTTTTGAAAAATAAATATATAAGTGATTAACATATTTAATAAGGGATTAAGGAGTAGGAATAAATTCAAGGCGATTAATTTACGGGATAGTTGCATAATTTATGACATAATTCGGTCAGTATGCTCTCATTTCTGCTGAAATTACGGACAATTCGAAACCATATCACGGTATTATATAATCAAATAATAAATTATAATCAAATAAATAATACATTGTCATGTATTGTATGAATTTTGAAATATAGTGGAAAAAATAACCTGAATCCATAATTACATCCTCAGAAATGTTACTTAAATAAAAATCACTCCAACTGTAGCAGTAACAATTATTTGTTTGGTTAATTGTAATTTAGAAATATTATTTTTTTGAGTTCATTGCTCCTAGGAAATGTATCCAATCTTTCTGAATGAATAAAGTTTGTAATTATCGACTGGAATGATTATGCAATTCATTAATAAACATTATCTTGTTACTTATTTATGTTTTTTAATTTAAATATTCTCCTCTAAGAGGAACAAGGTATAATCAGTTTTAAATAGATCTAATTCAATGAAACGAAATGAAAAAAAAAAAATAATATTCAACAATTTTCAACAAATTGTCTCGTTGATTGAAACAGATTGATCAATTAGTGGTGACCAGGTGTTGACTGACACACATTACCCACTCCACCAACACAGCATCTATATAATTGTGTTTATTGCGCCTATTTTAAATAATTATTACTTGTTTAGTCAACTCTTTTTTTTTTCAATCTTTACACTTTATAATTATGCAAGGGTACAGAGTGGTATGATCTATGATGTATGTTAATCAATTACCGTTAATCATTCATAATAACGGATAACAGTAAAATTTGAAAAAAAAAAAAATCTTACGGAAAAACTATAGATTAAAAATAAATATCTGTTTCACTTCTAATAGTTACTTCATGTAAATGGATATAATATGTATATATATATATATATATATATATATATATATATATATATATATATATATATATATATATATATATATATATATATATCTGTTTGTGTGTGTGTAAATATATTGTGAAATTAAAATTATGAAAAAAACTATCAAATTCAAATTTAATAAAACATTCTATATATCCTTTATAGTCGAATTAAATGTTTTTTAAAAATATGTTTCTAAATTATAAAGGTGAGTCGTGAAAAAATGGCTTTTTTTATATCTTATATTTAAAAAATAACTGTTAAAAAAAATAAATTGGAGAGGAAAAATGTTGAACTTGAAGCAAAGAAGAAAAAACAATTTAACATTTGACTTCAGCTCATAATTTGACTTCAATATGCTATAATATGCCTTCAAAGACTTCTCTATTTTAGCATTGTTTGTAACTTTGAACTTAAACGCATTTTAAAACCAAAGTTTCTTGGCTTTGAAGTTTGGTAAGACATGTGGAAACCACCTGTGAATCAATAGCTGATTCGCGGTTCAAGGCCGTCTCCATTAATCAAAAGAACCACTAAAATACATACAAACCATTAAAAAACAAATATTTTCTTCTTAAATCGTTTCCTTTTCTAGAGTTGAGCATTGTGAGGAGCCTTCTTGTAAAGTCGAATCCTCAAGTTCCAATCTTGTGCCAACTACCGCCTCCACCTCCAGTCCACTTCTCTTCTACGAAGTTCTTCTTGCCACCCTCCAGATTTCTAACTTAATCCTGGTCACTCGAGAGAAATGACCGAACTATCTCAAACTCGTCTTACCTTCAGGTTCCTTATAATTGTGGATTCCTTATATGACCTCCCTTCGTTTGTCCTTCGATCCTGCGCAGGAATCGCAATATCCATGGTTTAAATCTGACTTTTGTGTTTGGTGGCGAGGGTGGCTAACTCTCTGGAAAAGGTCATTGCAAGAAAGTAAGTGTTTTTGTAGACAGTAACTTTGCTATCCAAAAAACAAACGAATATATATAGTATATATATATTTGTTTTTGGAGACCATAAATCTTTCTCTGGACAAGAAATAAGGTGGTCACTGGTACTCTTAGCTAATAAAGAAAGACAGTGAGGATATCTGTAAGATGGAGTCAACAGAACGAGGAGGTGAAAAATTCGAATGGTGAAAGTACTTTGCTTCTCGAATTCTGACCGCACTCAGAGGGATCGAGATCCGCAAACCACATCCACTCTGCAATTAGATAATTCTGCTTGTGGGAGCGAGCAATTTCGCACGAACTATCATTGCTGTCTCTTTTTAATTTGGAAAAAAAAAACGAGAGGCGAATTCAGACGGTAATTGGAACCGAATTTTTAAGTACCAATGAATATTCTGTGGCGCCAGTTTTGATAGCAGAAACCGTTAATAATTACAAAAATTAATACCAGACTAGAGCTTGGGTGGAGTTCTATCTCGAATTTTCTCTTAGCGGACACTTCTCTATAGCGGACAATTTTATTAACCACGTCGAATTCAAAAAAAATATATAATATCTTCCGTATACGAACGCTCTCTAAACGAACGCAGACGGGCATTTTTATTCATATGCTTCTTCATACAGAAATTCATACAGCAGAAAATCAGGCAATTCCACATTCTAGGAATATTAGCTATTATATTTATAGTTCAATAATATGTATTCTGGGAATTCTAATAATGATAGAGATTATGGTTTCAATCTTTCGGTTTTAGTTCTTCCGTAGAACAATATGTCAACTCATGTCCATTTAAATTAAGTACTCAATACAAACTAAGAATTCACCAATTATCCGGCCAATTCAAACTTCTAAAAACATATAAATGAGACATTGAAAAAAAAAAAAATTTCTAAAACTGCAGTCCATTCAAAAAGGATCAAATCACATTCCTTTATCTGGAATCGCACATTAAACATGCGAGGGCCAAGCCCTACATTTTTAAACGTCCGTCCTCGCCATGGTTTGGATAATGTGTAAACGGGAATAGATTTTAGACAAAGGAATAATACTCTCGTACAATATTTAAAGTGAACTTATATATTCTTATGCAGTTGTTAATACAATTATGTAAGAGTTTTGGTTATTTAAAGATAGTATAAGACCTTAATGAAACGAACCATGCAAAATATTTGGGGAAGGGACGAATGAGACCTTTTAAAAATTGGGCAGGGGAAGGACTCATCCCCACCGTCCCAATAGGCTTATTTACCTTATTTAGGCTGGATGTTCTTGAAGTATTCTGACCCTTTAGTTCATATTAAAGTTAATATAACTGAAAATAAATTTTCTGCCAGAACTTGACTCGAACCAGAGCTTAGGATGGAACTATCGACAACTTCCTCTTTCTTTTTCCTCTGATCAATCCGTTGCAATTTTTTTTTTTTTAGTAGCTGCATATACCTTTTACATTAGGTTAGCTTAAAGGGTACGTTTTATATTTAACTGTTATATAATGTCCTTCGCTAATACTGAAAGTCATTCTGTATTACACCCCTACGCCAAACCTAGACCTATGCGTTCTTTCTCTCTTATGTTACCCGCGGTGCTTCCTCATCTGTGTCACCTTCCTCACCTTGGATGACCGGCGGTGGCTCCCACACCCAGAATGAGATCGTACTCGAGGTTTGCCAACCGGTACAGCAGGTGGGCCCGGTCAGTTTTGAAAGCGCCTGTCGATGTCCTTGAGCGCTGTTACTACAGACGGCACGGCGGCTCCACGACCTCCATCGGCAAGGGTCCCTTCTATTCGGCCGCTCTCATTAACGCCGCCCATATTAAGGACCACCAACAGAATCTGATTGAGATGATGCGTTGGACTATTTTCAAAGAGTAGGTGAACCTATGGATGAGTAGTGATGATCCAATACCTCATTCAATCCACACAGTTGTGAGAGCAGTTTATCGAATTATCACAATTCGAGAGTATAAGTATTGGTTATTCCAGCTGAAGATAGGCAGATATGGAGAAGGCTGATTTATGTGGCCATTGAACTGTAACGCCGACAGAAAAAACAAAACAAGAAAGCTTAAACTATCAATCACTTAAATAATATTTTGATTAAATAGAAAATCTGTCATTTATTATCTTTATTCAATCTGCAACTGTGCCTATTGGGACACCTAGCGAAACCTATACTTGTATCTAATCTAATGTGGCTTGAAAGACATAATAAGAGTATATTTCCCCCCTTACTTCGCCTTTTAGGCCAAACGGCGGTTCTCCCAAGCCAGGGGGTAAGGGCGGGGGATTAATGCCAAAGTTAAAAAGCACTCGGACGCGAACTCGTAATAATTTTGCCCTCTCCAGCTTGGTTATAACTTTGCCAGGCAACGCGCGGTGCTTTGCAAACGCTTTAGCTCGCTCGGCCACCCCGCCCCTTATGCTGGGTTATCCTGATGTGAGGATTTCTTTAGACATGAACGAAACGGACAGAGACCTCAACCAAGTATTATACTTCGTAACCATCCCAGAGGTGGTTAAGGAATTTTTATTCTTAACTATGTCTGCTGAACAAGGGTACATGCAAAAGAGGAACAATTAAGTTAAGAGTGGAGTAATTTTCATGTAAATTATAAAAATAAATAAATAATTCCTGTCGCTGTTCAGAAAATCATATTTTTTATTTATTGATACGTTTTATTAATTATTTTCATGTTGGAAACCGGAAAGCAGCTACTCTACCTGGGCTAGTGTATTCTCTTTTATTTATTTGAAAGGTGCTTTATTTTTATTTCATCATTACTTATTTCTTAATAACTAATATATTGCTTCATGTTAAGATCATGGTGTTTCTTATCATAGTGCTGATAGTCTATGTTACAGACCTCTTTTTTTTTGTATATTATTAACATCCGACAAAAACTTTTTGAATAGCTTCATTACATCGGAACAACTTTTTTATTTACGTAGATTCTCGAAATTAGGGCGTTATCAATCTTAAGTTCAGCAAACAGTCTATTTAATTAATTACTAAAAATTCAAGAATGGCCACTTGTTTCCCATTTGAATCGTAAGATAATTTACCCTCGAAATCGAGAAAAAAAAGACAGAATGACTAACTCCAATTTCAACATTTTCGAGTAAAGTCATTTTAGTGATATTTCTAGTTGGAAATTTTATCATATCTGTACAGACAGTGATTTCAGTTTATTTCAGAGAAGTTTATTGTGCTGTTGAAATATAGAACTGCGAATAAAGGTACATTTTAACCCTCTAAAAATGTTGTTAAAATTAATAATAAAGATTTTTGAAATTGGAATTAGCCACTTTGTCAACTGAAGAGCCATTATAAATATACAATATAATATATATATTATAAGATTTATCACAGAATCGAAAAAGAAGATGGCCTTCGAAAATATTAAGCCGTTTGGCGTGACCTACACGACAAAATTGTCAAAATAACGTGGTTATGTAGGACATAACTGTTTATCATTTTTTATAGGCCTTTTTATCGATTTTGTGATGAGATTATCCTAAGACCCAAGTAGAAAGCAAGTGGGTATTTACGAGTTTTTAGTACCTAATTAAATAAACAAAGTTTGCTCCATTCCAGATTGAAAAACGCCCTAATTCCGAGAGATTTCGTAAATAAAATAGTTGTAGGTTACGATGAGATGAAACTATTTATGAAGTTTTAGGCGGATGTTAATAATTTGATAAAAAGGGGTCTGTACCACGGACTAAGAGATATTTGTAAAATTATAAAACATCTTTGTTCCCAGTCAACTGAATCAACACACATCTTCTATCAATCTACTATTTTTATGTATGTTAGTATATCTAGTTAAAAAAATAATTAAAAAAAAATATCAAAAGTGAGATTTCGGCTTTATTTATGTCACTTTCTTTCCATATCAGTACGTATATCTAATCATTATTTGATCCATATATGTGGTCAACAATGTTCTACTAGTTTGGGAAATAATACGTCATGACTTACATTAGCGACAACGAAAAAAAAAGCAAAGAGAACAGCAAGCATAAGAAGTTTTTTAAATATTTTAATGAACTACAGGTATTATTCAGATAAATATTTTGTATCCAATCTATGATTCATCTGACTATTTTAATCACAATTCTGATTTATATTTACAAATCATATAGCAGAGGAATAGAATAAAAAAATTATAAACACCTTATGTTTAAAATTTTATTCCCATTTTTATGGTCTACCATGATATGCTCTGTTAGATGATATGATTGTTTCAGCTATATTTTATACCGGATAGTTGCATCACATTGCATTAATTTGAGCTTTATTAATTAATTATTCTTTCCGGTCGTTTCAATTACTAAATAAGATAAATATGTTTTCCTCATCGTTGCTTAGGTATGGTTTCAAGACAAATAAAATGGACATTTATCTAATTCAAAGTTTAAAAATAGCATAATCTAACCCCCATGTACTTATATACTTACTGAGGAGTTGGTTTCAATACGCTGATTTTAAGAATTACCAATCCGATTTGAAGAAAAAAAAAATTGTGCATTATCGAGAAGGTTATAGGCTTTACGAAATAATGCTAATATCCAAAGGGACAGAGTAGAAACCAAATAAAGGCAAATTCGCAAGTTTAGCTTCCTATAAACATATTTTGCTGCCAAACAGGTAAAGCGCAGGGACAAACTTTAAGGCATATTGGAATAAACTTAGAGGAAGAATGTTTTGGGTCTTAAGTATCACCAGTTACATTTTTGTCACTTATTTAGAACTGTTACTGATTTTTCAAATACATATCATTTAATAAATTATTACGATTGTAATGATAAGGTTATAACCTGAATCATAAACGTATTCTTTTTTAGAGACTGTGAATTAAAAAAAAATGAACTTCTTAAAATTAAATAACATTCTTTCATCACAAATGAAAAACATCAACATGATGATGAATAAATGAATATTACACACAATAAGTAAATGTTTCCTAGGAAATTATATGAAATTTTACATTTCCAAAAATGGTAAAGCTATTTGGAGGTGTGATTTGAGTTAAATATTTAAAATAAGTGTTATGCTCAAGCTATTTTGTGTTTATCTATTTTCAAAAATTAATTTTCAATAAAAAAAATATTATTTTATGAAATAAGATTTCTAAATAATAACTGTTATTCTACTAATCGTAAATGTTACTAAAAGTTACTGGCGTGTAAAAAAGACCCATGTTTTTGTGCTGGGCAGCATTGTGTTAAAGTTTGCAAAACATTGTGTTACTTTACATAAATTAGGTTGCGAAGAAAACTAAAACGTTTACGATAAAGTACAAAACTTTTCTTAAAGAAGTTTAGAACATACCGTTACCTTAAAAAGCTTTGTCAGTTGTTAGTATAAACTCATCAACCTCAGGCCACTCGTTTCAAGCATTTATATTATGGTTGCAATAAATCATAATAATTATAAATAATAACGGAGAATAGAGCAGGTTATTCCAGAAAATAAATGGACAAGGTCGAATTTAACGTTTGTTATATAAATGCAAATATTATTCTTTTATGACATATCATTTCTAAATAATAACTGTTATTTTACTAATCGTAAAAGTTGTTTACATTTTTGATAAATATATTTACATTTTTTTTATGCAAGCAAAAAGAATAATTCAATATAACAGATTGTGCTATTTATCTTTCTCTTGGGAAATAAAATTTTCGCATGATGTGTGCGGTACGATTACGATCTATCATCATCTACATGATGATGATACATACATTAGAAGACAAAGGAGTTTAAAATCGTTTATGATTGGGAAAATTGCAGACTTAGCAAGGATTTTATCCATGATGACATCCATGTTCCAGAATGTTCACCGGAAACGTTACGTCATCTAAATTGGAAAGAGTGTAATTTGCAGAACGCTCCTATTCAAGTGAAGTTTCTTGAATTACTAAAAATAAGATAAATAAATACATTTCAATTTTTTACTCGAACACACACATTTTTAACACATTTATTAGCTCTTTTTTTTGCAATGTTAGAATTAATTTGAAGTGCTTGTATTCTACAAGTAGATTTCTAGTAGTATTTTAATATATTTTATGATGCTGTGAAATTAAATTAAATTGAGAACATTAAAAATGTTAGAACAAAATTATGACAAATTTCTTCTACATTATCGTCCCAAGACGTAATAATTCGTTATATGGTGCAAGGAAATTAAGAATTCTTTACAATAATTTTAAGGTCTCTTTTAATTTATCTGAAGTTTCCATCCCTGTGGTTTTATTGTCGAAAGCGTGTCGGTAAAACTATCAAGGAGAAAATTACTTGATTATTTAAATACAATCAGTATATTTTAATTTAAACGGGCGTATTTCAATGTTTTTTTAAACAATGTTATTAAATTAACATTAATTGTAATTTTATTAATATTGATTGATGTAAAACAACTTTATCCCTCATTTCTAAGCAATTCGTGTTCAATTAAAAACCACAGAAGAGTTTTAGCTGGAAGTTTATTGGTTAGAGTATAAAAAATATTTCAAGAAAAAAAAATGTTGAGATAACTGATAAATAAATAACTTAAGTAACATAAAGCCATGGTTTTTTTGTAGATAAATTGTACAAATTACGTAGACTCCTAATAATGATGAGATGTATACATGTTATATCATAAGTGACCCTGAATTCTCTCCTCAAATCATTTTTCATGGTCAGATTCAGAGAGGAAAATTATTCAATCCATATATCCTTCATTTCGTAGAATATATAGTTCAGGTGTACAGATTATTGAAAACATTTCTTGATTATCTATTATCCATAAATATCTATTGGATTATTTTAAATAAACATGAATATTAAAATTATATGAGCAAAGGGAATAAAAATTGATTAT